GCCAGGGGGGTCTATGCCGAGGTTGCGCCGCGTTGCCGCCCGTGCCGCCGCGTGGGCGCCTCGACGGGCGCCCCGTGCTCTGAGCTTGCACGACGGAACTTGCGCCACACAGCCCGTTTTTGGCCCTGCACTCGGGCTCCCGCGACCATTCCTATACGTCGGATGGCGTGGGACTCAGGCTGGGACGTTTGCGCGTCTGTCGGCTACGAGTCCACCCGCAAGGGGTGGGGACTCTTGGACCGCCAGAAGTGCAGGGACATCGCACCGTTGATCAGATATCTGGGTTGCACTCTTTTTTCTCAGCGATATGTGCTCACTCGAACTATCGGCGCCAATGATGTGAATGAATGATGAACGTATGTGACACCACACAGCGTCCACCGCAGGCATTGCGCAGCATGGCTTGCAGAACTCCCCGAAGCTCCCACCTCCAGTTCACACACCGCGCAGCTTACACTCACAGCATTCACCACATAGCTTACACTGCGCAGCGTGCACTGCGCAGCTTCCACCTCGCCAAATCTCACCATATAGCTTCCACAACATAGCTTTCTCCACATAGCTTGCCCCGCATGGCTTTCACGCCCACAGTGTGCAGGAACGCGCTGCTTGGGGTCCACGAGCCCCCCCCTCTGCTGCCTCTTTTCCTGCTCCTACGCCTCCTTTTCCTCCAGGCGTGCGCGAGTGCGATCTCTGCTTGCAGGCCGGTCCCAGCTCGTGCCGTCCGTTCGGTCCGCGCAGACATCGAGCTCAGCCCCAGAGGCGTGCGTCGTCTCTCCGTGTCCTTCGTCTGCGGCGCAGGGACGGGCGGGCCCTCGCAGGCCCGTCCTCGATGGGGCTGTGGGCGTTTTCGAGCTCGCTCCGCAGGATGCCCTTGGGCTGGGGACTGTGGCCGCGGAAGCCAGCGCTCGGCGCGAGCAGATGCAAAGTTGCACATGCCCGCACTGCGTGCTTTCAAACTCTTGACGTTTCTCGCGTATCGCCACCAGTCCATCCAGAAACGAAGCTCAGGAGACATGCTGGGATAAGGTAAAGTGGCTATGTAGTGACACAAAGAAGGCGCATAAACACTTAAGATAGGGGCCTTTAAGGGGACTCTTGAGCCAGTTTTGGAGCCTTGGAGGCATTATTGGGGGTCCTTTTGGGACCATGAAGCAAAACACTTCTTGGAGCCCTCTTTGGGAAGTCATTGATGCGCGCGCTTGAGAGCTGCCTTGGTGCCACGCTGGGCCCATCCAGGGACTGGCGGTCTTGGGACCCCGTGAAAGCATATCGGAGGCCATCTTGGACAAAGTTGAACCATCGCGTATAATGTCTGAGGCCATCTTGGGATACGTGGGGCCACATTGCTTCCATCTTGGGCCGGAGGTGACCCTCTGACAGCTCTCGGGAGGGGCTCTCTGCATCCAGGGGAGGACTTCCCTTACAAGAACGGGTCAGCCCCTCAAACCGCCTCTCGGCTCGGCCCCAACACCAGCGTGTCAGTGTCACGCCACTGTTTGGCTGTTTGGGCTTCGGCAAGGCAAGGCGAGGTGGTCTCCAAGATGGCCTTACAGATGGCCCACGACAGTCCAAGATTGATGGCCTCCATCTCCGAAGCTATTTTGGTTCAAGCCGTCGTCTGAAATGGCACGGCGTGGGCCATGGCGCTGGCAGGGGCCTCGCGCGGCACGCTCGCGGCCCAGCAGGACGCTGGCGAAGGCCACGGTCCCTGCGGGCCAGAGCCTGACGCGCAGATGCCCCACGGGGCGGCGGCCCCCGCGATGGAGCGAGGCGATGGCCAGCTCCGCGGCGTCGACTGCTGGTCCGCCGCGGCGTGCGTGGACCTTCTCGACGTCGGCCAGTTCGACAGCTCAGGCGATGGCGTGCCGTCGCCCCAGATGGAGTGGGCCGACCCCCTCGACACGGGCCAGTTCGTGGTCCCCGCGCCCCGACTCGGAGCAAACGCCGCCGTGTGCGCGGGAGGTCCCCCAGGAGATCTCGGTGATCTGGCACGCATCGAGGGCGCTTCTGCGCCCGAAGGCCTCGAGAACCCCGAGCAGAAGAAGCTAGCGCAGGCGGACATTGACAGGATCCTCGCTGGCATGAAGAGCAAAGGCCACCTGCAGCTGCAGGTCTCCGAGGCGCCTTCCGGCAGCAGCGACGTCCTCGACAGCCAGTCGGCATGTTGGTTGAGGGAGTGCAGCCACGGGTCTCACCTGACGGCCGAGCTCAGCAGCGACCGCCAGACGACCTTTGGCAGCCTGAGCTTCGGCGGACAGACCACCAGCAGCAGCGACCAGCGCGGGACGCCCAACCAGCAGGCCGCCGCGGGCGCCGCACCGCAGACCTGGGACAGAATGCAGCAGCGGCCGCCGGCCAGCGAGGGCGACGAGGACGCGCTCCAGTACCAGGAACCAGGAGGGCTCGAACGGCACTGCTTCAGTCGGCGCGGCGCCCGCGGCGCCGCCGCTGCCGCTCCTGGAGGCCCGCGGCAGGGCCCCGCTTGGGCGGCAGCAGAGCAGGGCCTCCTCGCCGGGCTCCGCGGACAGCGCGGGCAGCGAGCCAGGACGGCGCGTCTGCGCCCAGGACGTCGTGCGGCAGCTGTGGGAGACCAGCGGGGGGCCATCGAAGCACAGCGCCGTCTGGCGGCCAGAGCACTTCGCGCCGGACTGCGAGTACGAGGACCTCCGGCACCGGGAGTCCTACCGGGGGCGCGCGGCCGTGCAGGCGCTGTTGCCGTCGCTGGTGCTGCCCCCGGGGACGAGGCGCGTTGTGACCAACATCTCTGGAGGAGCATCCTCGTGCGGTTTCACGTGGCACCTCGAGGAGGACGGCGCGGGAATCATGCAGCGCGGCGTGACGTTCCTGCGCGTGGACAGGCAGGGCAGAGTGACCTACCTGCGGGAGGGCTGGGAGCCCCCTCCGCAGGCGTCGGTGTCCCCTGTCGTGGAGCGCTGCGCGTCGCCGAATCTGGCGGTGCGCCAGGCCGCGCTGCAGGAGGTGAAGGGCTTAGCCTCCGGCGGCGCGGTGGTGCTCCCGAGGATCCTTGCGTGCATCGACCAAGCGAAAGACGACCCCATGCGTCTCGAGGGTCTCGTGCCCGCCCTTGTGGAGTTGGCTGAGAAGGGTGACTCGGTGGTGGTATCGACGTTGATCAACAACCTGCGCCACAATAATTGCTGGGTTCGAGTGCATTGCCTTGCCGGCCTTGGGAAGCTGGCGACCCTCGACGACAGGGCTGTCGTGGACGCGGTGGCCCCTTTCACGCAGGACAGCAGCTGGCAGGTCCGCGAGGCCTCCGCCGATACCCTGGGTCACATTGCGGGGCCCGCCGCGGGCGCGGCGGCGCTGCGCGTGCTGGGGCAGTTGCGGCAGGACTCCAGCGTCCGGGTCTCCGCGGCGGCTCTGGTTGCGCACCAGAGCGTCCTCGCGCGCCTGGCGCCGCGTCGGAAGCGACGAAGCACTGGCCAGGAGGCAGTGGTCGCCTGCGGGGCCGCCGTCGCGACCGTGATGATCGCATTGCTGGTGGAGCGCCTGCTCAGAAAGCCTGCTTGCTAGCCTTCTGGGCCGTGATCTCGCACTTTGTAGGGTCTCTCCCCCAATCTCTCTCTCTCTCTCTCTCGCTCTCTCTCTCTCTCTCTCTCTCTCTCTCCGCGCCCCTGAAGCCGCACCACTCCATTTACCCATGGCCCCCGTCTGGTGTTGGTGATTGCTTCCGTCTCGCTCTCGCCAGAATTGCACCTGTTGGGTGATGCCCTAATTGGTACCCAGCGAGAGCTGTACAGCGCGTTGGCAGTTTGCCGCACCCGAACGTATGGCAGAGCCCATCGTCTGCTGCGGCTTCGCAGCCTGTTTCAACAGGGCTCAGCACCATTTTCTAGTGTTTCAGAGTTGGCGGTTTCAATCCCAGGTGAGAGCCTGTTTCAGCAGGGCTCAGCATCATTTTCTAGGGTTTCAGAGTTGGCGGTTTCAATCCCAGGTGAGCTTGCTTCACCTGAGCAGATTCGACAGCGTTGCTGCTTTGTAGCGTGACGCCTAGTCCGAAAACAAAAATAATGATGGCCTCCACCAGGACTGCCATCGGCTTCAGACAGCCACAAGACTGCCCGCGGTTGCCAGTATGCAACAAACAAGACTCGAACATCGAGTGCTGGTAGTTCCAAGCAAGAACATGTGCCGTACCGTTCTCCGGTTTCGGACTGACTCTTACAGGCCCCGGTGATACGGCCCCAGGAGGACGGTTCATGCTCCAAGCAGTCCCGACAAAGCCCCAAGAGAGCTCCCAAAGCGCTCGAACGTAGTCCCAGCGGGGCCTCAAGAACACTGCCAACCGAGCAAGGGTCCCGAGAGCCCACCCCCTTCAACCTCAAATTCGAGGCTCCGTCCAACAAGCAGTTTCATTTGTGGCTCGTGCTTCCTTCCGCGGTTGGCCAGGGGCGGCCATCGCGCCAGATCTCCAGCCACGTCTGGTCCATCTGCGAGGGGGGAAGTGTCGTGGGACGACGTTTCAGCTGGGTCCTGCCTCATCTCCTCCTCCGCCGTCCCCTCCCCCGCACCCGTCTCCCTTTCTCCTCCTCATCCTCCTCCTCCTCCTCCTCCTCGTCCTCCTCCTCCTCCTCCTCCCTTATTTTCGTGTATAAGTTCCTTCTTCTTCTGCATTCCTCTACGTATCTCCCCCCTCCCTCCTTGAGCCCCTCCAGGCTCACCGCTTGTCAATTGCAAGCGGGAGGACATCCAAGGTGGCGGGCCGCACGCAGCTGCTTTGTTCAGGCCGCTGGCGCAAGAGGTCCCTCCGAGGGAGCCCACAATCGCTCCGCAGACTCCGACCACCCCCCCGAGGCAACGGCCGCCATGGCGCCCGCGGAGCAAGCCGCCGCCGCCCGCCCGACCCGCGCGGCCTCGCCCCCTGCGCGCAAGGCGGCACCGCAGACGGACGAGAACAGGGCCCACAACGCGGTGCAGACGGGCAGCCAGCAGCCGAAGACGGCCGCTGCCGGCGGGAAGGGGGCGGCGCCGAGGCAGCCTCGCAGGGCCGTCGGACGGGCCTTGCTGGTCCTCAAGGTCGTCGCGGCCGCCGCGGTGCTGGGCATCGCGGTGCTGGCCGCCGTGGCCTGCGCGCCTGCCTTGGGAGGCGCGGCGTCGTGCCGCGCGGCTGTCGCGAGGGCTGTCGCGATGGCCCGGGAGCGCCCGACGGCAGCCTGCGCCTTGGCGCTGGTGCCAGTGGTTGCCGCCCTGGCTCCCCTCCTCTCCGTCGCGCATGCTGCCGCGAGCAGGCTGCGATCCGGCAAGAAGCGCGAGTGAGCCATCGCGAGGGGAGGGCGCCTCGAATTCGCACACGCTCGCTCCAGTGGGCGATGTCCAGTGCCGTGGCAGGTTGCGAATTCGTCGCTTGCAAGTTTCTCATTTGAACGCGACTGGGATGGGCATGTTCCGTCAGTCAACTGTTGGCGCTTCGCGTGTCTCCGCCAGCCAATCCAGAAACGATCCCCTAGCAAGTTGCTGTGACCAGGGAAGCGTAGGGGCAGGCAGTTGAACAACGAGAGGGGGGCATTCCTTATCCGAAGCTGGCGATTAGCGTGAGGAGACCCCAGTAGCCACCCATGCACGTCGTTTCGGATCTTTCCACTTGTGAGTTTCCTCTGCACTTTTTCCCAACCCTCCTGCGTTGGGATCTCGTTCGGAATAAGGCGCTACACTCCCCAACCTTCCCTTCTCCTCCTCCCTCTCTTGCCCCTCCTCCTCCCCCTCCTGCCTCCTGCTTCCTGCCTCCTGGGGGGGCACGCAGACGCTGGCCTCTTCTGCTCATCCCCTGCGTCCTGCTTGCGCCGCAGCCCCCGTTGAGACCTCGCGGCGCCCTGGGGGCCTGCGCAGCGTGAAGCTGTCGCCATGTTCGTGGGCTCCTGGGAGGTCGCGCGGAGTGGAGTCGTCACACTCAGGAGGAAAAGAAACACACAGACACAATTAATCGTCGACTCCCAGGAGAATATGGGAAAATACGGGAAGTGGGAGGGGATACGAAAACCCAGAACATATGGAAAACATATGGGGAATATTGTTATTTGTGTGTATTTATTTGTGTGTCCCAGGGCCCCTTCACACACGGCGGCCCAGTGGAGTCTTCGCCTTTCCCTTGGGGGCTGCGAAGCGTGAACACTTGTTGCCGCTCTCGTGGGCTCCTGGGAGGCCGCGCGGAGCGGAGTTCCACGGGGGCCCAGTTGAGAGCGCATGGCGCTGTTCTGTCCCGCGCATGTAGTGCTCGGCGCTGCTACTGTCACTGAGCACGTACGGCCCCCTTATTCACCTTCCGCAGCATGGTTCTGTCCCCGTCCCTATCTTGTCATTCCTGCGTGCTGATTGTGTGTAATCCTGAGGGCTCATGCGCACTGCGAGTCCTTCAGATTGTTTGTTTGTAGTGGGCGGTCCTAACTATACGCGCCATATGTTTTGAAAAGTCTTGGTTGCTCTTGGGGCCGTCTTGAACTTCATCTGGGCCCATCTTGGGAATCTCAGGCGCTTGTCAAATCCCCCAGAGGTCTCATGGGTCTCAATTGGAAGCGACAGGGCGAGAATTCGAGTATCAGAAACAAAACGTGCTTAGTTCAATGAGGTTGGCCTCTCGGTGGTGTCCTTAAAAGCTCCGTGGAGCCTCCAGGACCTTTGTTCGATTCCATTGCCTCATATTGAAGCTAGATTGGAGCAGTCTCGGATCTATCTTGGTTCATCATGGATGTTCTAACCCCATCGCCTTCCCTTTGCCCCGGATCCAGAGCCAGCAAAGGGGGTATGGGGGTGGGGGCACGTTTCCAACAGCAACGCCTACCCGCTCTCCCACCGTGTAAGCAGCAAACAGAGTTCATTACAGGCAGAGATATCGCCATCGGTAACCACTGCGGACACCAGGTGCGCGACGCTCTGGATGTGCACGACGCGTGCGAGATACACCACACGCATCGGGTGCGCTGCGTGACCGAGGGGCGCGAGCGTCACATGCTCCAGCCACGCCGCACCGCGCGCGAGCGACGCGCGCAGACTGCATCAGAAGGCGACCGCGGGGTCCTTGTTTACCGTCTGGCTTACGTGTCGCGTATACACTAAAAATCATAGGAGGCAAACGCGCACGTAATCGGCATGTGTGCTTAGTTGTGTTGGACCTTTGGGGGGCCTCGCTGGAGGCCTCTTTGAGCAGTTTGTCAGATGCATCCTGAGGCCTTTTGGGGCACACCCGGGTCTGATGAGCAGGCTGGCCTTGCAAAATCAAGTTCGTGCTTGAGTCGTGTCAATCGCGTCTTATGCTTCATGCCTTCTGCACGAGTTGCTCACAAAAGAGTATCGTGTCTTCTCGGATGCCATCTACAATCAGTCCTGACTGTATATTGGGGCTTCTCGGGCACACCTTGGAGCCTTTGGGATGTCGATGGCATTTCGTCAGCTGGTGCGTTAAAGGCCGTCTGGTCGAATCTGGAGGCCTTCGTGGCGCTCTCTGAGAGTGTTTCTGGCTTGTACTTCGGCGGGGGGATCGTCGCGGGGTGCGTTGCGACGATGGGGGGTTGGGCGGTTCAAAGAAAACCACAGAACCGTGTCCAGACAATTCGTGCTCCTTCTCGAGGCCGTCTTGAAGCTCTCTGGAGCGCGTCTGGCTCGTTCTTCGGCGGGGCGCCTGTCTGAGGGGAGGTTGCGACGACGGTGAGGCTGGGCTGTCCCCAGGAAGCTCGAATAAAGAAGACCTACACACGCATAAACTTTATAAGGGCCGCGCGGATCTCTTAGATCGGTGCTGGACCCGGCGTGGAGCGTGCCAGGGGCCGGGGGCAGCGCCAGGCTGGTTGTGCCACCAGGGGGTCCGCCCCGCCGATCCCAGAACCCGTGCGAACCTCCTAACGATTATGTCTGTGCAGTTGTGTTTCTGCCTCCTATCGGCGGCGCGCCCGGGGCGGGAAGTGAGCAGGGGCGGGCCGTCTCAGAAGGCTCGAAAGGCCTCGGGGCTGCGGAGATGTTTCCTAAGCCTTCCCCGATGACACCGAGGCCTTCTCAAAAGGCCCGAGGTCTTCTGAGAAGTCCCGCCGTCTTCCGTGAAGGCCTTCTCCCTCTGACTTCCTCCCCGGCCTCGCCGCCGGTACCTGGCCTCGTTGCCAATCCTAAGATCTGCTTCCAGGCAAGTCACGTTCGTCCCGACACCCCCACTACCGTGCATGCACGGTGCTGGATGTGAGCTTTCGCAGTTTCCGACGCTTCGCGTACGTAAACCAGCCAGCCAATCCCGAAACGATCGCCAGGCGAGCGATTCTGATCCAAGGAAGGGAAGGAGCATGCAGTGGAGCAGAGTCCATCCAGAAATGATGCCCAGACGTGCTGCAACGATCATGGGAGTCCGACCCCACCCCCGACAATTCTACATGCGCGGGGCCTGACGAGAGCTTCCGGCATGATTCTGCTCCCGGTCGGCGGGGAGCACGGTCTGCGCAGGAACCGCTGCGCGTGGACGGCACGCGAGCGGCGACCGCAGCGCCGACGTTCGCGGCGTCCTGGGCTCGTTGAGCCCTGGGCCAAGAGGAGCAAATGTCGGCGCGCGCCCTCCTCCACACCTTCCTCCTCCACCCTCTCCGCGTCTATTCCGAAGTGGAAACTCGACCAGTGGAGCCAGCTAGGAATCGGAGCCGGCCCAGCACCGGATCGGCCGGGGGGGGAAACTGCACCAGGCGAGTCCCGGGCAAGGTCTGGGATCGATTCTGAGCGGAGTGTCCCTCATCCCCTGTGCTTGACCGAAGCTCTCGGGGCCCATCCGGTCCAGACCCCCCGGCCGCCTCCAAGCTATACCGCTACTGGTACCCCTCCCTCGTCGCGACGGCTGGGCCCACGCTTCGAGGCTCTGGTCGCAGCGCAACCCGTGGCGGCATCGGCACCTTTTTTGCCCCTCCCATCCACGTCATTCTGCTGATGCTCCTGACAGATTCCTCCTCCCCTCCCTCCTCCTCCCTCCTTCTTATCCCGTTCCGTTTCATGTTCCACTCCTTCTTCCTTCTGTATCTTTTTTCACCACTTCGTCCTCGTCATCCAGTTTCTGTCTCTCCTTCTCTTTCTTCGTC